ATCGCCAACTTATCCTTTTGTCTATATGTCCTTTTCTCGATTTTTATTGGTTCTTTTTCTCTCTATAGACTGCCGAATCCCTTCATAACATCAAACGTTCACATGCCAATATTGCGGCAGTATAGCATGATTTTCTGTTAGCACAGACTAGCTCTGAGTATGAATATATTCTGTTTAATTTTCTATGGATTTGACCAGGTCTTCTATGCGCCGATGTATACATGCGAAACACAATATATACAGTAGACAGAACACCAGGTTATAGTTATAGAGACTGAAACGCAGTTTTTGTAAGTATTACCGATTTAATATTAACCGAACATTGCAGGTAGCTCATTAATGCCGGATACAAATGTGTACAGATACAAAAGATAGCGTTGTGAAATCGATTGCGTATAAATAATTATATTGAAAGCTTAGTAGTGCTCCAGTCGTTTAAATCAATCGCATCACAAGTTGTATTGAATATTCCTTCTAAACATTTTCGTAAACATAATCGAGTGTATGGTTTTCAACTGGTATTTGTGTTTTCCTTATCAACTACATGAACAGCACGATGCCATTTGCAGGCAGTTTTATATTTGTATAAGTTATTGCGATGATGTTTTACGAGTTACATAATATTACACTTTTGGTAATGATGAAGTCTTTTTTCTGGTTGCTGTTTGTTCTAAATACGACATTTCCGCCTGAAAAAATTAAAACTTGCGTCGTGTCGATATTTCTTCCTAAGATGAATATGCCTATTTAGCAGGTGAACGCAACACTGGGTTAAACATTACTGTGGCAGAGACATCAGGAGGACCCTATGTTTTGTGTCGTATTACCCCTTGGGAAATTGGTTTTGTCGGCGAGATGAAGACGTTGTACTGTACACAGCCATTGACCGGACGGTTTGTACGCATATCACGTGGCCTGCCTGTAATTCCGCATGTGAGATCGAAATATATGGTAACAAGTTGAATTAATTCGTGTTTGCATGCATTAAAATACTTGCATAACTCAATGAGCACAGGATATTTCTACAAGTTAATACTATGTATGTTGACTGATTTATTTTCAAAGTTCAAACGAGTGGTTGCATGTACAGGTAATTGACATGACTTTATATGTTGATGTATCAACTTGTGTTTAACAGGAATACTATTATTTCTGTATCGCACAGCAGTGTTGGTTTTCTATGGCGTCTTATAAACGTGTCAATTTTACCCGAGACGTATAAGGGTGGTTTTCTCACGCACCGTATGCGATCTTTATTTTCTTTGTAACTAATCTCGATGTTTTATACACCCGCCAATGAACTTGATCAATACAGCCTATCCTCTGTCACATTTACGATACTCAGTTTGTAATGATTTTGTCTCCTACCTACGGAATCAGCATACACTATTGTTCACATCATGTTTTTTACTGATAGATTGTACCGTTAATAATGGTTCGATTATATTTGCATTCCTTTGATTCTGTATAGATATTCGTATCACTGTCAAAAACTAAGCATTGGAAACTGATTTTTTGGCATGAATGGAAATAATTTCTGAAAGGAAAACCATATATTGCTTGAATTTTATGAAAAAATATAAAGATGAAATGAACAAAATAAAATCGACAACAGTGTTCTAAATGTAAAACAAAACAGAGAGGCTAGCCAGGGATTCGAACCCTGGTCATAGTTTACAGTTTAATTTCTCAACTACAGCGATAGTTTGTGTCTATATGGCCATATATCACAGTAGCAATGCTAGCCATCAGGTAATAATAATGATCTACCAACCAAACATCGCCGTGTTTTCTGTTTAGAAATACCTGTATAGGTTAAGTCGAATTAAAATAATATCTTTTAAATGAGTATTACGCCACATGGTATTTCGAGGTGATTTTCTTATCAATGCTGGTTTTACATTTACAGACAAGTAGGAAATTCCCGTCATGTGCGACAATTAAAGGTTGGATCTCATTGGAAAGAAGTCTCTGGTTATTCAGGTGTCATCATTGGCAAGTCTGCTATTCCGTCTTTGCGTATTGTAGAGTTATCTTCTCTTGAGAGCAGGTATTGATTGTTACGTCATTGGTTTGTGTGAGAAAATTACGGCGTTTTCTCAAAAATTGATGACGTACGTTACTCTCACAAACAAATGACGTAACAATCAATACCAGCTCTCAAGAGAAGATAACTCTGCAATACGCAAAGACGGAATAGAAATCGTAGTTAATTTAATCTAAATGAGAAAACAATCATAAGTGATTTTCTTTTTTTAAATAAGACTATTGTTTTGAAGAAAACGATGTTTAAATAACTGCGCAGCTAGGACCATTTTTGTATTATTATAACTGTCATAATGTAGTATTACACTTCCCTAATTAATAACAAGAATAATAAAACGAACAATAAATAAATTATCAGACTGTTCTTCAAAATATTAAAGGAATACGTAAACAAAGATAAACTGATATTTATTCTATTTTATTTGTATATTGATGAAGGTTAAAAGAAAAACAGTTATAAGAATAAAAGCACATACAATAGTTTTATTGTCGATGAAGACAAATCTCTTTTGGTCCGTGATATTCCTATGACTTGTTCAACCGCCTCATCTGTCCTGATACTAGAAACAAACTAAACCAATTGATACACGAATGCACATGGATTAATCACGTGTAAACAAAGATCATCCTCATTTAACTTTTCTCTAAAACAGTTTACCAATGATAGAAAATGTCAGAGTACAGTTTGTCCGGGCTATTTGTTACTTATCTTCTTTTGCATTCTATATTTTATCTGTGGATATGTTGAATAATGAGTCGTTAACCATATGTTTCCCTAAAATGAACAAAGAACAAAAAAAAACAAAAATCCGTACAAAATAGTGCAATTGATATATACCTGTGCTACATTAATTATCAATTTTACATTCAGAAAATAAATTTAAAGACGTTTACATTGTTTCTGATTCATTTCGAAAATATGAACAATTGTTTAAATAGTATGTAATATAAACTTTAGTTATTTGATAAATATTATGAAACAAGTTTTTACAACTTATTCTATTCACTCTTGTTGTCCCGGATGTTAGCGCGCGGGGGATCTTATTGTCGGTGGAAACCGGAGTACCCGGAGAAAACCCACGTGGTCGGACAGGTTACCCCATACCTTTTCACGTCCGATCGGGGAATAAAAACCGAGCCGCCTTGATGAAAGGCAAGTGTGATATCCACTACGGCACCCGACCAATCGTATGAAGCATAACATATTTCCGGTGATTTGTGACTACAGTGTGACCTACATGACATTGTCTTATTGACTGTCTTTATAAACATTAATGGTAATGACAATCAACTTACTCAAGTTGGCAGATGAACGAGTAGGAAGATGTACAATGACGTCATTGACGATTCCCCCATTAAGCGTCAGACATTCCTCGTTGTGGTTTGAGTCACTCGGATTTCCGGGGTGCCAATGGTTTTTGTATATTTGGGTTTTAGTCGTAGACCATATCCCCTCCACAAACATATCACTTCCACCATGACAGAATTGTCCGCTTTTTGCTTATCATCATAAATATAGAGCAAGGTCATAAATAGCCATTTACTTAAGAATAAATGTAAAGTTTTGTGATGTACCGAAAAAAATATTTACCTGTAACACCGTTAACTTAGACCTGAATTACTGTATTTTTTCTATGCAACAGTTGTCATGGTCTTTTGCAGCCTGTGTGTGATTCCTGCGAACCGCGGAACAATACATCCTCGAAGTCCAATGACAACGATCTTGCATGTTTGAGTATCATCATTTACCGAACAAATAATCTTGATGTTGCAAATTTAAAAAAAAAAATCTATCAATGTATGCAATCAAAGTCGTATGCAGTATTTAGAAAGGACATTATGTTTCATGTTATTTTATAAGGTTTTATCGTGCTCCAGAATGTCTAAAATCTAATTTGCAGTAAGCATGCTTACACAACGCACATGGAGGCACAACATTAAACGACCTTATCTGTTCAAAAGACATAAAACAAAACAAAAAACAAATAAATATCCCTAACTGGAATACAGATGAGCAACACACTGAATTTAAAACATCTATAAGAGTTATAGCCCATAGCTCCCGGTCTCCTCCTGGGATTTCATAGACTGTCCACTATTACCTAAATTGGATCTTGACCTTTCGTCGGCAGGGAGACTAGAACTTTAATGTTTTCCGTTAACCAGGTCATATTTGTTGCCGCTTCTCCGCCAAAAGTGGACAGATATTTCATTGAATTGTAAATCCCCATAGACAAGGTGGGCTCCGATTGAGTTAACTCTTCGCTCAGACAAAATCTAACCCGCTTTGCTAAATATGTTCTAACCAAATGTTTTAACAAACACCCTTTTGATTTTCTAGACTACGTTTTCTAAATGATAAGTTAATGTTCGAACGCCAGGCTTATGCGGCCATGTAAACTGAGCGTTACCATTTATTATTACAACGACCACATGACTTCCGTGACGTCAATGTGCATGTTGTTCCTGCAGGTAGGGTGTAAGAATTGTACCTGCTGCCCCCATTGCATGATCGTAAGAAGCGACTAAATTTGGGATCTTATCTTTTCTCGTCTTTCTAAACAACTTTCTTCTTCCGAGACAGAGCAAAGTCTTTAAAAATAGTAGGTTCTACTCCTGCTTAACGCTCAGCAATTTAAGAGTGTGACGACTGGTTTGCATGTTGTCAGTATAATGTGACCAAGTGGGGTGTCTTGCTGGGTGACTGAGGCAGTATTTTTCAGTGAGGTAGCACTATAAAGTCGGCATCAGTTCCGCGCTATCACAAAGAGACAAACACAAACATGTCGCAGCCTCCCAAAACACACAGGCATACGCTACACGAATGCATCTTGCACACAGGGAAAGTCGCCCTTAAATGACCATAGCTGTTGATATGACGTTAAACAATAGTAAACCAAACCAAATTAATGTGCATGTTGATATTATGTAAATGAAAAAACAACAATACTTACAGATTTCGTTTTTCGAAGCGCCAGAGAGGAATTGAAAAGATTCTTCTTCGATTGGTTCTGGTAATTTGCCAAGAAATCCCTGACAAACACTCTAATGAGAAAAATATAGATATTGTTGTCACAAATAGTAAACTACATCGTTTTATACCTTCACTGGTGTAAAATAATGGTTCTGCAAATAATTGACCTACATAACAAATATTTGACCACATTAAATTAAGTACAGCGGTCATTAAGTTAGAAAGCCACTAGAAATACAAAATAATGAAAACCCGTATAAACCGGATGCATAAAACAAAATAAAACAACCATTTGCTGCACACTGTCGTTCGTACATGTAGGTTGTACCAGTGGTCCAAGAGGACAAATAATGCATTAGTTTCCAAGCTGTCTCTAAGTTTCTCCAGAAATACAGTGAAAAGGGAAGCTGGCATTTTTTTTTTTTTAATGTTTATATATACATGTTTTGATTAAAATAGATTATTTTTATTATTAGACTAGTATCTTACGGTAGCATGCAGCGGGGTATAACAGATATAATTGTTCCTTAACCTACGGAGACGTCAATCTCTATTTTGTTTAAGCGACTGTCATTTGTTAATATGTAGGTTTCAATGTATTTCACAAATATATTATTGTTGGCATTTCTGCGGAATGATGTGTTCTGTAGCAGACAATCAGTATCAATAATACTCCGCAATTTATCATATTGTATGATCTGCACATATACAAAAGTATAGTGACTGTTTACAGTATAGCGTGCAATTTTTGTTTACACTCTATATACTATACAAAACCGTCAATACAACAAAACACTCGTCCATACATGTATACTTACGTTTGCATCTGCCCATGTTCCACCAAATTTACTTAGGGAATAGCAGATTATTGGTCCCTGTATCCATCCGCCAGGTCATGCTTAAACTAAGATGAGACAAAGTGGTATTATCTTAAAACGATCACTAAATGATTAAGATAAAAATAGAAGGTTTGGTTAACTTGTGTTTAACGTCCCATTAACAGCGTTATGGGATGATACCATACATTTTGCAACATACCATAAACAACAGTTATTTATGGATGTAGCTCATGCCTGTCATCGGTGCCATTTCTGTATCTCATCTTTGTTGCTACATTACTAATAGAAGTCATTGGACTTTATATTAGTTTATTTTTCATCTCATCTTCAAAGATTGTGAACTTAAATTGTCACCATTTTTGTCATTAATAAAATGACCTTTAACAACATTTTAATCTTAGTTGTTTTTTGTGATGTCAACAAGCGCAACAAAACAAGCTTCAGTCTCTGAACATTAATTATCCAATAAATATATTGATGTCAGTTGGCAATTATCATATATATTTTATAATTATGTCAATATTTGTTATTCATGAATATGTACAGGCTCTTAGCTTTCAATGTTCTAGTTATTATAAGGAGCTAAAGGTTTTACGTCTGGGATGCAGCCCAGCAGTTAGATCATGAGTGACCATCGCGTCATTGCTACTTTTAAACTATCACGTGAACTAAGGGTGATTTTCATATTATGCCTGGACCCTTAGGGGCTAGTGGATGCGTGATCTACATGTGACCTTTGGGTGAGTAGTCTGCTCGACCAATCAGCGTCATGCCTTTCTCCCTTGTGTACCAATCAGCGCGGCGCGCACTACTGGGGTCTGGACACTGACGCGGCCCCTTCATCACTTGTAGATTTCACTGTAGCAGCCTCCTTGGGAGAATTTTGTGTGTTGAAGTAACTTCTCCTATCCAGACATCTCAACTCTATCAAAACCCACCATTCCTCCCTTTTAACTTCCTTATAATTACATTGTCTAGCTTTGAGCCTTTACAGCTATATCATTGTTTACACGCCTATTTATGCCAATTCTGTATCCCATCTTTGTTGCTACATTACTAATAGAAGTCATTGTACTTTATATTAGTTTATTATTCATCTCGTCTTCAAAGATTGTGAACTAAAATTGTCACAATTTCTATTTGTCTTTAATAAAATGACCTTTAACAACATTTTAATCTCAGTTGTTTTTTGTGATGTTAAATAGTGTAACAAAACAAGCTTCAGTCTCTGAACATTAATTATCCAAGCTGACATCAAAAAGAAGGTTTGGTTTAATTGTGTTAAACGTCCCATTAACAGCTAAGGTCATTTAAGGACGTTAGATAGAAATAGAAACAACGTAACAAGATAATACTGGAATGTCAACAAGAACAAAATTTGAACTCTAAATCGATTAAACTAGGGCAAAACATTCACAAAGGAAATATCTACTTGGAGACCCTTGAAACACACAAGGATGATAGGACGGGAGTTCCTGAAGGGTAAGCATCTAATGCTTCATCAAGTTCCTCATGATAATCTTAGTAAAATTCAGGAAGTAACATATCCTCACATCGAGGACTCGGATAGTGACCACAAAACAACAAGTCATTCTTATTATCGTTATCAAAAACATTAACCTTCATTAAGACTATAACATACTTTTATTAATGGCACGAAATAATACAATACAAACCCTTCGATGTGGTATTGCTGGTATGAGTATTTCCATTACATAGTACATCGTTCTGGTAATGTCACGAGAAGATCATATCGCAGTCAAGTCTGACCCGTTTCTATTCCGTTATCTTTTGGTTGTTTTGGTCGTATCCTTATCTTGGCTGTCAGTTAAGATTTGCCCTAGGCTCGACAAATAACCGTTAGTGTATTGCTGTTTTAAATACTACTAAAGCTTTCAATATAGACTCATACGCCAGTGTGCATAATGATTAAGAAAATAGGAGAATACCAAGGTGGAAATTGAACCATAGCTTGAACTCAAAATTAATAAAAATACGGCAACGTATATACTGTAAAAATACACAAAAATCCTAAGAAAACGTACAAAGAGAATATAGCCATAGTTTCAGGAAGGATACCGTCTTATTTTTCAACATTGATACCCAACATGTAAATGTAGGTCAAATCCAAAACATGGGATGTTCTCAAAGAGAAGAGGTGGTTGGTTAATGTTTAGGTTTGCGTCCTGGCAACAGCTGAGGTCTTACCTAGACGGTGTCTACGGAGGACGGGACCAGCTACAGACAACCTTTAGGTGAAATATCAAAAACGCATCAGGTTGTATTTCGCTTCATCGGGCCATATTATACCAACGAAAGAAGAAGCAGTTCTTACAACACTGATATAAACTTTGGTTTGGTTTTATTTTGTTTACCATTCGTGTTCCAAAGTAGAGGATACAATTTAAAACGCTAGATTACGAAAAGTGTTATGATACAATAAAAAAATGAAACCGTTATCTCTGTTCATTTGAGTCAAAAGTCCATAATAGTGTTATATATGTAATATTAGAAATGACAAAAACCTGTATTGACCATTGAAGAAATGTTTATGCCAAATGGAGTACACTTTTTCATGTTTAGGCAACTATAATTGTTGCCAAAATTTCCCGACAAAGATTTGAAGGATACCGAGTATCATTTCAGCTAACATCTATTATCTGATCGGTTTACAGATTGTCAGTAAAATGCGACAATATTATTATTACTAGAATCTATGTACAACAATGAGTTTGGATTGCATCCTCTGCATCGTACTGAAAGGATATATTTTGTTTACAATCTTGCTATACAACTGAACAGTTTTTTCTATTGCTTACAATCAAACCACATATATAACACAAATAACGTTTGTCAATTCTAAGATTTAATCACAGAAGAACATAGAAAAATATATTTCATTTATAACATTAAGAATCATTTTAATCGATTATTATTTGTTAACAATTATAAGACATATCTAAACTACTTTGTACAAACGTGTGGATTCATACTTGCGACAACTGTTTTGTGGATTACGTCAGCCAAACAGGTTTGAGAAATAAATAGCTATGCTAAGGGGGGACGGCATATACCAGCAGTGATCCTCATTGCTGTCCCCATCGCAACACTTGGATCTAAATCTCTCTTTCATTTCTCACTTCCCTACAGTTTAGCGTTGTTTATATGACCTAATCTGTTTCGAGGACGTCAAACAGGTCACGATCCAACACGTTAGTGCTGTAATGTCGTTTTATGACACAGATAGGGCGGGAAAAGGACATTGTAAAAGCATTGACAAAAACAAAAGAACAGCAGGCTGACACAATTAATATTTTTTAATCTGTGTATTACAATTTAGTTATACAATGCAACGTTTCACTTTCTTCTACGAGTACCATTCCATTATGCAGATCTACTTATCCAACTATTCCTGGTTCAATTTCCAGTCTGGAAATACAGAGAGTACAATTTAAACCATTGTGTCGTAAGTTGAACAATTCGATACAAAACAACACCAGGAGAAAACCCAAGTGTCAACAAAACCATAAATCAATAAAACTAGGGCACAGAGGAAAGATTTTTGATGGAGATCCGTAAAAAAAGTTAATATATCGAGCTCAACGCGATGTATCACCCATAAACTGAGGTAAACGCTGCCGCATGAGTGTGTTTCTAATACTGTAATTACACTGTAATTCTCTAACGAAGCTTCCTTATCGATGCAAGATGTGTGATTTTAAAAATTAGAATTGTAACTTTGTAAATATTCTAAAACACAAAAAATAATCTAAACAAAAATAGCCATCAAAAGTATAATGTATCTTACTCTTTTTCGCAAATGAAGTAATGCAATGAGTGACATTCGAGATCGTTGAATCCGTTATCATGCAGAGTGAGACAGTCGCCATTGTTATTGTCGTCATTCGGCTCTCCTGGCAACCAATGGTTATTCATGACCTTGGCTCCTGATGAGGACCATTCCCATACACCTTCTACAAACATATCACTTCCGCCTACGGAGAACTGCACTCCAGCTTCTGTAACAGGAAAATGTGTCTATTTTCATTAACACAATTACATTATATCTATAATAAAACAAAGACAAATATAGGCAATGCTTGTGCTGTTAATAGAAATTAAACTACTAAGACTTCTTGAGTTTTTTGCTAAAAGGAAACGTACTTCATAACGATTATTTCGATGATGAATTGGTCTATGTTATCGTTCTTAAAAAAACATTGCTTTTCAATGTCGTACATTTTGACTTATATCGGTAGCATTTTTATGTCATCAACGTAAAAAAATAGTTGATCTCAATTAAATCGTGCTTTTTCGATAATATCGGTAATAAATGTATGTCATAACCTTGATAACAATTGTTGCTTGATTTAAGATCGTACTTCGCGGCTTATATCCGTCATGAATTTGTTTGAATACAATGTTTGTATAAAAGAGACATAAGAACTATGTTTTGTAACAAAATCAACCTGAATGAATCCATGAGTCCAGGAAACAGTGCACACAGTGGCGTTAGTTAATTGGTTTGGGCCGTCAGCAACAACAAAAGCATTTGTATTACACTGTTATGCCAACTAACTATAGTACCAGCATAATCGACAAAAGCCAAAGAGAATTAGAAAAAATACGCTGTCATGATAAAAAGTCTGGCGTAGTTGTATTAATTCTTAACACAATAACATGCATTAAGATATTTCGATTTTTTGGTTTATTTTACAAGAATAATGATACAAGCTTTTTACTTTTTATCACTTATTCTTGTAAGGTGTTTGCTGGAAAGAGCCATGCAGAGAATCTTAAATTCAAGGCAATATTATGTCCATTTAGAGATGTCAATCTTGACCAGGCAGCATGACAACGATCTAACCAAACATTCTTGAGAGACACCCCCTATGTCACAGTGTTCTTACAACGGGCTAACCAAACATGTCCAGGGAGACACCCCCTAGGTCAATGTTCTTACAATGGACTAACCAAACATTCCTGGGAGACACCCCCTAGGTCACAGTGTTCTTACATTGGCTAACCAAACATTCCTGGGAGACACCCCCTAGGTCAGTGTTCTTACATTGGTCTAACCAAACATTCCTGGGAGACACCCCCTAGGTCACAGTGTTCTTACAACGGGCTAACCAAACATGTCCAGGGAGACACCCCCAGGTCAGTGTTCTTACAATGGGCTAACCAAACCTTCCTGGGAGACACTCCCTAGGTCAGAGTGTTCTTACAATGGGCTAACCAAACATTCTTGGGATACACCCCCTAGGTCACCGATCAATTCTGGCATCCCACCTAAGCTTAAGATAAAGGAAAACTCTGCAGATGTTTTAACAGTCAGGTAATTTAAGCACAACGTTTCATAATATTCATAAGAATTAATATTGAATAATAATCTGAATAAAATGTAATGTGATGATTTAAGTTATGATATAGAATTGCCTATCTGTGACTGTGAGTCTTACTGTTCGTATTCCTTTCATCGACTTTATCAAAATTCAGTTTTATAAAACAAATGTTGTCTTGCATGCATTTCAACGTAAAAGAAAATGTTACAGTATCCGTTTTACTGCATCATGAAACGGAAAGATATATAACTAATGTAAAACTTGAAAATGATTTATTATTGAATACTACAGTAAAATATCTATCGAATATTAGTTTGATATCAAGTCGACTAAATACTTATCCTACCTCATTTAAATTGATATGGTTTAGGTTTTATTCCTTCCTTTTCACAAGAAAAGAGCAAAACTTAAGAAACATTATTTTCATACTGTGGTAACGAATAATGTATTTTGTGATTGTAATTCGTAACCCATGGGTTTTGTTTATATGTAGTTTAACAACCTTGCTCATATGAAAAAGGGTGCCTGGGGAGAATGAGAGAAGAAAAATAGTTTTCAAGTATTGCAATGGAGTTTCTTAATTGTCCAATAAACAGAAGGCTCTACAGGGGGACAATCATAAGAAGTGCTTCCGGGGGGATACTCCACGAAAATAAATAAAGGCAACACATGTAAAACGTTCAGATCAGGAAATCACAAAGACTACTTTTGCTAAAGGTAAAACACTAAATTAAAGTAGGTCTGGAGCTCGATGTAAAATAAACACAGTATCATTATACAAAGCTTGTGACTGTACACAAACATCGGAAAATTAATATAAATAGTCCATTCGACCTCATTTTTAAACTAAAAATGATAAACGTTGACCTTCCCTATTTGAAGTAATACGAAGGAAAGACATGCTTGGTTATAAAATTAGGGATGAAAACGTCATTCTTACCTTAAACACCTACAATAAAGGTACAATTGGGCAAATCAACACATATGGTTTACATACTTGTGAACACAGAAACAACGTTAATACACGTATCTTTCAAAAAGAGATGAACAGCTCAACACATGCACCTAAAGTATACGAATATATAAAGTGTGAAAACAAAACCAAATGCTATAACATGACGTTCAAGTAACGGCAAATATTGCTTCTCCATATCACAGAGTTTTCCCCCATAATAAAGACTTACAGTTTCTTCCGGGCAGAGAAAGATACCCAGAATGCATCTAAGTCTTATCGTAAGGTAATGACGGGAGTATCGTCCCTATCGTAAGAATTGTTTGGCGTCACGTCACAATTTCACCGATGTCAGGCCAACAATAGCAGATAAAGGCAGCGAACTAATTAGGTTTGCTTGAAAACCCTGCAATCAATGCTTGTGTTGCAGTATTTGAGGCAAATCATTGGGATTTAGGAATCTTACCTAAAGCTGATGAAAGATTGTATTGATCAACACATGCACATATGGTAAACACATACGAGACATAGAAACAAAATACAAAAGCAGAAGAAGATATAAACACATACACATATAGTAATCAGATGTCAAAGAAGTATACTATAAACATAACTTACATGTACATTCGAACATATCAACACAAACACATACAGTTAACCTATTTGACATACATAAACACAAATACTTTACACATAACTTGCAGACACAATATAAGCACATATACATGTGGTAAACATATGTCAAACAAGTATACCATCTACACACCTTACAAATACAGACAAATATATCAACACTTACACATATAGCAAACATATCATACATAGAGTTACATATAGAACCAAATACTATAAATTCCGTACAAGTAATTACCAATAATACAGAGGTATCCACACTTCCGGTAAGGGAGGGAGATATATTCCTGTCTACCCGAGGGTAAAAAAAGGATATTCCCCTGTCATAAAATTTTGCAATAAATTGTCTCAACATTTCTAAATATATAACAGCTCTAATATGCGTGATTCAAAATGTTCACTTGTCACGTGAAAACCATGTACATAGCAAAGACATAAGGTTTGACGACATTGTCGGTTTGAGCACAGACACTTATTGCGGACATTACTTACGTCCCCTGTCGTGAATTGACCCTGTTAGGAAAGTGTAGGAGTCCTCATCCATAGGTTCAGCAAGCTTACCGCCGAATCCTTGACAAACGCTCTGCAACGGGAATTTACAATATCAATACAAACGGTTATTTGTATTGCGTTCTCTATAGAGTAATTAACAAATTCATTTAGAGAACATGTTTTTGTATAAAAAGACCAAACGGAAAGTTTTGGACTGGCATTTAAGTTTTCAACCAAGAAATGGACACGACATAAATAACACAGATACAAAAATATAATTTATTAAAATGCATTGTAATAAATATACGATTTAGAAATGAATCACCTACAGACGCTTCACCCCAAGTTGCTGTGAACCGGCTTAGAAAATAACACCCACTTGGTCCTGTCAGCCATCCTAGTGAACAACCTAAAACCCCAACACGAATGTTCATTATAAAGTTGAACTGAATGGTATTTTGAGAGAGAGAAAAACAATACTCAATACATTTTCAATTTACAAGGACAAAACGGGGTAAAGGACAAACATGTGCCTTGTTTAAAACTAATATCGAAGTTTGTAATCATTACTTTGTTTCACTGTCACTATTCTGTTTCTCTCTTTGACAGAGATTTTCATGGCAGGTATAATTGATGAAAAATGTTGGTTTTTTCCGAAATACCTGGTCCTATTTTCCTTGTACAAAAATAAACATTTCTTTATTTCCCATCAATTATCAAGAAATAACTAATTATATGTATCTCTCTTGTTGACCAAGATGGAATCGCAAATTATGGGAGGAAACCAGTTTATCAAAGAAAATTATCAAGGTCTCGCAGGTGTTCCGGTCCCTTTTCACGTTCGCAAATAACCATGGCCTGATTGGCTAGTATATCATTACACTAATAAATAAAAGTTCATGTGCTACCTACTGGATAAACCGACCACACCTTTCACATATTAATATTCCCAACTATGACTCACAACATTCGTTATTCTTTGTATGTAACCATCGAAATGAGCTCAGTAATACATCACTTACCATTAGCTGCAGATACACCACACACCAGCAGAATAGTTAGTATCGACATGACACAGCTTGTCATGGTGGTTATTCACGGCTAAGGACGTTCCTCCGAAATTTGATCGTGTCTTATCAGTAAAGTAGGACAAACAGAAACGCCAGACGAATATGTATATCGCAAAGTGTGGATCTGGAAAAAACACATTTTTTCAAAATGTTTGTCGAACATAATACCTTAATGGGTGTAATATATATGTATATTCGTCACCAAATTGTTCCCATTTACATATGTACACCATGCAAGTATATCTACGCTTCTAAATTAATATTACGATGGAAAAGTATAATATTAAATTTAAAATAATAGTACACATATATTTAAACATGCATACATTATAAGATTTATGTATTTTGTATAACCATATTCACTTTGCGCTTGTGAGTCAACAGGCGCACCATGCCAGTCATTGTAATACATCTAAATCAATAACTATTTCTATGCAAGCAAAATATCAATATCGTCAACTTAACTTTGTTTCACATGCAGAGAGCAAGATGACAAATATCAAAAATCGATAACGAATTAAACTGTATTATAAGTATCGTTTATTTACCAACACTGTAACACGCTATTTAACAGAGCCAAACAATATAAATATATTTACACTAAATGCATCAAACCTAAAATCATTCTACATTGCAAACGTATTAGGAATGATTTCATTACATTTACATTGATAGGTGATCGAATTTGGAATTTTGTGTAATCATAAGAAAAAGTCGTCGCAATGAAATTGTATCAAGTGTTCATAAGCATAAAAAGAAAACGCAAAGTTAGCAGTAAACTCACAACGAAGACCGTCCACGGAAAGGTAAACAGGATTCAACATGTCGAGCAAATGTTTATAAAACACATTATCTTGGCGTCTGGTGACCTTTTACCGGCAAATATACATAGCGTTTAAAGACAAGCATGAAGCTTAACAAGCACCAAAGTAATGTTGGACAATTATTCGATATTCGGAATAGCGACCAACATTCCCGCTTCCCATGGGGAAGTAAAGTTAGAAAGTAAAGTTAGAAAGTAAAGTAAGAAAGTAAAGTTAGAAAGTAAGTTAGAAAATAAAGTTAGAAAGTAAGTTAGAAAGTAAAGTTAGAAAGTAAAGCTAGAAAGTAAAGTTAGAAAGTAAGTTAGAAAGTAAAGTTAGAAAGTAACCTAAACGAGAAATAAACTAAAGCAGATGCAGGTACCCAACGTTTTAAAGGATCCACACGCAAGGGGTGCCACACATATAATTTACATTTGTTAGTTATTCAAAATGACGAATAACAGTGTAACGTTTTCCTAAGATATCTTGCTTTACCTGTACATTCTATCAGTATTGGTATGTTTGTTATAAGTGGGATTGTTTTCTGTATTAACAGTTTAATAGACCTTGTCTTGGTTATTGCTAGTATACATAGTCATAGTAAAGTTTCGCTTTAACATTTAAACTGCACAAACATAAAACTATTATAAATATAAAGAAGTAAATCAGTAAATCATATGAATTGTAGTAAACGCAAATATTTTATTTCGTGTTCGCGAGAGGAGATGACCTTCTGTATCCCTCCTTTGTAGGCTGGTGCATTGATGTGCAGCAATAATTTTAGATCACTTACAGAACATATTTTTTCTTCTTTAAACAGGAGAAGATTTCAATGATTAAAAAATCGATGAGCTGTCATCACTGAGACATGTAAGACATGTTTTTATTCTATTCTCTCCATTCTACTTCTATGTTTCTGCGGAAGGTTCCTACAATAATAATAATAAGAACAATTCGAGGTTCTTATAAACCTCTTTATCACAAATTAGTTCGTAGCTCGTCTCAAAACGGTTCACACATTATCATCCGTGGTTATAGGGCCTTTGCAACTAGCCAATATCTTTCTCAACTCTCTGTGGAACATACATCCGGTGCTGCCATTTCGTCGCTTACAGCTTGCATTCTACAATTTTAGCACTGCCCAACCACGTACTCATTTACAGCTTAGTAGACTGGAAGAAGCGGAGTAAAGTTTCTTGCTCAAAGATACAACACAGTGCCGTGCCTTGACTCGAACCAGTAACCCTTCGGTCACGAGCCCGGCGTCCAACCACTAGACAACCGTGCCTCCTAGGAGACATTGGCCCTGAATGACCTAGATTGCCGATCGGCTGATAGCAAAACAAAATAGAAAAATCCTAGGTTTCCGATTTCATATAACCAAAGCTTTTACAAGGATGGTTATCTAAACAAATCAATCACAAACTCATTCATAGAGTCTATAAATGTCTTCTTTCAATAGAATTCCAACTGGTTCCTGTTTACCTAATGCAATGATGGGTTTGAAATAGAACACAGTTGTTATGCATAGCTAACAAACATATATATATGTAAGCCGTTCAAGAAAGTTATCTTAGCCAAGCATTCATAGCATGGGATTAAACATATGTGACGATCATGCCAAAACCGTAAATAGATTACGTGTTAAGGTCGCGGTTCAGCAGCCTATAAAAGGTGGATAGATGTGCTGCGTAGTCTTATACAGGACTTTGAATTGTTCACGTCGTGTCAGTTAAACAAACATCATGAAGACATTCGTCATCCTCGCTGTCATTACCTTATTTGGTGAGTAATGTGTTGATGTGTTGATCGTATATCAGATCAGGTTATCCTCCTCATATATTATCTACCCATCATTTTATTCATTGGTTAAAAAATCAAAAGTAGAATAATATTCGTTTATGGTTATATCAAGACAAACAAACGTAAAAAACTGATCAGTGCTTACCTTTTACAATACCTTACGCTTCAACTGCACAAATCTGTGCAGTCACTTCATCATTGTAGGCTGATCTTTCGAATGTCTATGAAAAACAAGTATTGTCTGAGCTGATTAATGGTGTCACAAACAGGCCATTATAAATTATGTAAATATATGTTGTTTCCGAGTGTGAAATGTATCCGCTGATGTTATTTGAAAGGCGAACCTATCACACACACGTGATTGTACTTTTACAAATATTTTTTAAAATTGGTAACAGATGCGGCAAACCAAAAAATGTGGAAAGTTGGATATCAAATAAATCGAAACTATTGTTGAAACAGAGGGGCAGGGCCAACTTGTATAGAACATCTCAACTTTTGAGATTTCCTCAAGTCTAAGATTTCCCATAGACAATACATTGCTTTAGATTTTCCTTAACTTTGAGATGTTATATACAAGTGGGCCCAGGTTTGTTAATCCCTTAACTCTGAATTTATCATTTAAAGGAGTAGTGGTTAATTTTAGAGTAAACAATCCGTAAAGCGGGTATATTATGAACCATGCCACTGTCGCCATCAACGTTACAGTTAACCACGTTACAGTTAACCACGTTTCAGTTAACCACGTAACAGTTAACCACGTTACAGTTAACCACGTTACAGTTAACCACGGGCGCTAAATAAGCCACCAATAGAGTCTACCACCTTGTTTGTTTGGAAAATGACGTAACCTACACACTGGTGATGATGCAGTGAGATACAATTGAGTTACTCTGCATAAACTGTAGACGAAAAAGTTGAATGACGACAATGCACTCGAACGCCTTATCATCGTAAATCACATATGTTGGCCAAATCTATGATTGGAACTCGTTTTTGTGTGAAACAATCCAATTTGGGTCCGTCTCCTTTTATAAAGTGATACTTCAATGGCGAGGATATAAAAACAATCTTTGATCATTTGTTCTATAATAAAGGTTTAGCATCCTCCCTTTTAATTTCTAATTTCCAAAATTGTATCATTCATGTATTGAGCTCAAACAATAAGGGTTTTAACAGCAAAGGCATGGAGTTGAAACAAGCGTTTGGAAACAATTCTAAATCGGGAAAAATGCATAATTTAGAATTCATTTACATCGTGATAACATGTGTCAAATGATATACAGTTACCCTGATCTGGCCAAACATACATTCGTTTTTATAGTATAGAACTGCGATTTGTGATAAGTCACAAATCTGTAATTAATACAGATTTGTTGTCTAGCTACTATAGACTGGGACACTTTCGACCTGTAAAATCTTCGCCCTTTTTCGGTAAAAACGAACCTTTGAGCGCCGATGTTGTATTTTACGTTTAGTTGAAATGTACTGTAGAATCGTTTTATTTTCCTGGCGTTTAACTTTCATGGTTTTCATATACTAGCCTGTTTCAAGGACATTATACTTTGCTGATTTCTGATTTTCCCCTATCTATATCATACTAAATATATGTTTTAGTGGGGATTTTATTTCATTGAATTTTTGTTATCCACGAAATAAACGACATTTAATGTCTTTTTATGATTTATGATTTTACAGTATGCCTTTTTTCACTAATGAACGCTGTAATGATAATTTCGCTCTCAGTTTGATGAGCGTAAAATGATTGTTTCAACAGATGTGATTTTTTCCATATATACATAATGATTCATATACTACTTGTCAAATAGAAATGCATTAGATCATCAAAGGTACTTCATCCATGGTTATGTTTAAGCAATATCTTTTATTAGTTTAAATAATATAAATTCATACCTATATAAAAAAAAAATGTTGGTCATGCGTGTTTTGATTTAATTATATTGTAACCATCGTAGAGATTATTTAAGGATTAACTTGAATATATTTTTCATGTTTTGGAGCTATAACACAAAAAAACCCAGATGTACTCTAAATAAACCGGGAAGTGGTTTATGATGGAGTACACTCCGTTTGTTGTTATAGCTCCAAAACATGAAAAGTATATTCCCGTTAATCCTTATAATTTAATCTACTATACACAATCCCTGTGGAAATCCACTTTTATTGATGGACTCTTTTCTTTCTCTTAAAAAATATTGCGCTGCTGTATCAGCCAATCAAAAGCGCGGCTACAAACGGCGACGTCATTTTGTTACGTTATGGGCTGATAACATAAATTTTAAAGCCAATGAAAATGCTTGTTACAAGCAAGATTAAATTATTCATTATTAACAACACAAAAAAGGTTTCACGAACATGTTAAGATCATTAGTTTGGGTTTTAATTATTTTTGTTTATGTCATGTTTTGCGATATTTACAGACTAAACGATGTTCTTTTTACAGGCATGGTTGTTTCACAACAATGTAGTAATTCTATCACATGTCGTCTCGATGACGACACAACATGTGCTCCCCACCACCGTGAGTATTGCCATCACAATGCGTGCGTCTGTGCGGATTCAGTCTCAACGAATGGTAAGTTACAGCAAAGCTTCTCTATAATTATATATATAAATTAAACAAAACACGAAAGACTAAATCTCGCTGGTACTTTCGCCCATCTTGCGGCTCTTCAGGCGATGATAATTTGTTTGTGACGTCATAAATAGAGTACACATACTTAAGAAGTCAAACAATGACGTCATCAACAATGCTTTAAAACCATGACCAAGTTGTTAAAATAGTTATAAGCTTGATTAGTGATTAACGTACATTTGATCTTTTGTGTATTTTAGAAACTCAGTATTATTAACGGAGTTAAAATTTCAATAAAGCAAATATTTAAGAAGAGTCAAATTCCATGCAACATTTAGAGGTTATTATATGACCATTTTTATATCATACACCTTATCAGCCCGATTGTCCTGATATAAACCAGAGGGGCCGAAGCCCTCGAGGGCTGCTAAGGGGTATGATATCAAAATGTTCATATCATAAACTTTTTATCATATGTCTTTTTTGATATTAAATCAAAAATCAAAAAAGTAAAAACATTTGTAAGAAATGATCTGATCAACCTGACAGGGACCTGATAATTTGTTACGTCTATATTTGGACCTAAACTTGTTTTAGGTGTGTATATCGACTTTTGGTAAAAATGACACCACAATGATCATATATGTATATTATTGTCATTTTTTCCGAAAGTCGATCTAAATCTCTAAAACATGTAAATATACTCTGAACACCTTAGTTAGGTCCAAATATAGCTGTAAGAAATGATCAGGTCCCTGTGATAAACCTAATGTCGGACTTGGTTTTCTTGTGTGTGTGTTTTAATTCCGCATACTTTGCACACATTGTTTAGCGTTCTCATCTCTTAACCTTAAATTGTTCTCCTTGTCAGCATATCTTTTCTCAATTAAAGCATCCAACCCTGCTATTCTGATTCTAAAGAGTTGAGAAGGCGTTCAACTTCATCTTTTGACATTTTGATTTGAACAAACCGACAAGGGGCGTAATCCGGGTAAGAACGCTCCGGTTGAGTAAACAGTAAAACACGGATAGATAAACAGGATTTGGCTGGACATTGCGGAGAAACGACACAGTGCATATCGGGATTTTTGATTTGTTTTGTTAATATATTCAAGATCCCCTTCAGATTGTATCCATCTGTCAAGGTATACCTTTTTAAATGCATTTGTCGTTTTCATTGGGAACCATGCATTTAGTCTGAGGGGTTACGAACAGGGGATGCATTACGAGAGAACAGGTATGGCATGGGAAGGGGCGAGGGGGGCATTACGAGAAACTTATTACAAGGGTGACCGGGAAAAGTATCAGATGGATCTGAAAGTATCACTCATGCAAAAATACTGAACCATGCATGTTTTTAATAATAATCACGGTTACAGAGATGCTTTACTGATCTGTATCACAATCCACCACTGTGGTGTAAGGGAGAGAACTCCCATACCGCATATATGACTAAAATAACTTAAATTAACGAGACACTGCGTGGGAGCTCTGGTCAATGACTTCTGCCCTGGATGTAGAACAAACTTTTACATTAGTTCACAATAAATATATTATAATATACATTGTCCATACCATAGGAGAGGGCTTGTATAGGCATTACGCCTGTTGCCCAATTTCTTTTGAAATTTGTATAAGATGCAATATTCAATAAAAAAAAAATGTGAAATTAAATCAAAATGTTACAGGAGCTGAAACTCTTAACCCTTTCGCACATAGGAAACTTTAATAGACTCTACCATACATTTATCTGGATGAGTCCATTATGGTTTATAGTGGTGAAAGGGTTTATGTACCACAAACATCTTTAAGAACATCATTAAAACTTGTTGCGAGTTTGTTTTATATAGTTGTAATTCATCTGAAAATGCTGTTTTGTAAAAACTACATCAGATGTTTGACAATTAAGTTGATCTTGTGGCACGTCAATATGTTGATGTAAGTACGGTACATAACCCTGTTCGCCTATATCGCAGAGAGCTTCATCTACGTATCCTTCACAAACTATCATTGTAAAAAAATACGACTTTCTTTTGTAACAGGTAAACAGGTGAGGTTGGATAGTGAACCTGATTTGATTGGCTCAGAAGCAACCTATTAATCATTTCTATGCATCATCGGTGTGTCAAAATATATCTTTGATGTAATTTCATGAAAGGTTTAAAATCATGATCAAGTGATGATTCTTAAATAATTGAAATGGCCAAAATGGCCATATGGTGCGGAACTTCATTACTTCATATTATCAAGGGATCATTATGCAAAGAGTTTGCAACTATAATGCAATTCTTTTGACATCCTTTTGGAAAAAAAACAATCAAAACCTTTGTTAATCTTTTCAGGCTGTACCCAAGCGAGTGACTGCCATGGCCATTCTTCAGCTTGTCAGTTACACTGCGTGGATGGAAGTTGCCGTTGTATCCATTAGGTAAGAAACTTCTACATGTGTAATGAAGTGAGACACTAATCATTAACTATTTCTTAAACTAATTGCGTATCACGAATCAACAATATTACAGATAATTGCTTTCGTAACACATTATTCTGACTACTGGCTTACTACTCCACCCGGACACATTATGCTGACCGAAGACTTAACACTCTACCCGGTCACATTATACTGACTACGGGCTAACCATTCCACCGGAACACGTTATACTGACCAAAGACTTAACACTCTACCCGGTCACATTATACTGACTACGGGCTTACCACTCCATCCGGACACATTATACTGACCAAAGACTTAACACTCCTCCCGGTCACATTATACTGACAACGGGCTAACCATTCCACCCGGTCACATTATACTGACTACGGGCTAACCATTCCACCCGAACACATTATACTGACTACGGGCTAACCATTCCCCCCGAACACATTATACTGACCAAAGACTTGACAGTATACCCGGTCACATTATACTGACCAAAGACTTAACACTCTTCCCGGTCACATTATACTGACTACGGGCTAACCATTCCACCCGAACACATTATACTGACCAAAGACTTGACACTATACCCGGTCACATTATACTGACCAAAGACTAAACACTCCATTGGTCACATTATACTGACCAAAGAGTTAACACTCCACCTGGTCAAATTATATTGAAAACGGGCTGACCATTCAACCCGGACACATTATACTGACTACGGGCTAACTACTCTACCCGGACATATTATAGTGACAACGGGCTAACCACTCCATCCGGACACATTATACTGACCAAAGACTTGACACTATACCCGGTCACATTATACTTACCAAAGACTAAACACTCCATTGGTCCCATTATACTGACCAAAGAGTTAACACTCCACCTGGCCAAATTATATTGAAAACGGGCTGACCATTCAACCCGGACCCATTATACTGACTACGGGCTAACCATTCCCCCCGAACACATTATACTGACCAAAGACTTGACACTATACCCGGTCACATTATACTTACCAAAGACTAAACACTCCATTGGTCCCATTATACTGACCAAAGAGTTAACACTCCACCCGGTCAAATTATATTGAAAACGGGCTGACCATTCAACCCGGACACATTATATTGATCAAAGACTTAACGCTCCTCCCGGTCACATTATACTGAAAACGGACTAACCATTTCACCCGGACACATTATACTGACCAAAGACTTAACACTCCTCCCGGACACATTATACTGAAAACGGGCTAACCATTCCACCCGGACACATTATACTGACTACGTGCTAACGATTCCACCCGGACTCATTATACTGACCAAAAACTTAACACTAAACCCGGTTACATTATGCTGATCTCGGGTTAACCACTTCACCTGGACACATTGTACTGATAACGGGCCAACCACTCCAGCTTGATGCATTATACTGACAACGGGCTAGCCAATCAGCCCGGACACATTATAGTGACAACAGGCTAACCACTCCATCCAGACACATTATAATGACAACAGACCAATCATCTCACCAGGACACATTATAATGACAACGGGCCAAATACTCCACCCGGACATATTATAGTGACAACGCGCTAACCACTCCACCCGGACACATTATACTGACCAAAGACTTGACACTCCTCCCGGTCTCATTATACTGAGAACGGGCTAACCATTCCACCCGGACACATTATACTGACCAAAGACTTAACACTGCTCCAGGTCACATTATACTGAGAACGGGCTAACGATTCCACCCGGTCACATTATACTGACCAAAGACTTAACACTGTTCCAGGTCACATTATACTGAGAACGGGCTAACCATTCCCCCCGGACACATTATACTGACCAAAGACTTAACACTCCTCCCGGTCACATTATACTGAGAACGGGCTAATCACTCCACCCGGACACATTATGACAACTGGCTAACAACCCCACCCGGACACATTATACTGACAACGGGCTCAGGCATAATCTACCCGTTATCATTGTGGCATAGTAATATGTTCTGTTAATAAAACGCTACATCCCTTATAGAAATATTTCCCTCCTAGAATGCTGAATCTGATAAAATCAAACCAAATATTAACCATTAATTGATAAAATCAAACCAAATATTAACCATCAATGGATAAAATCAAACCAAATATTAACCATTAATTGATAAAATCAAACCATATATTAACCATTAATTGATAACATTACTTTTTCAGAGAGAGTAACAACTCCTGGGTGCGATGAAATCTTGTGTTGCTGTGCTTTAAATAGTTAATGTTATTCCAGACATATTAAAATAATTGGAAAAAAACGACATGCTGTTTTCTTTTTAGTTGCTTTTTTAATATCAGATGTTATTCAAAAGTATAAAAGTACTTGGAAGATGACCTGCTGTTTCCCTCTATTTCTAAATATTTAATGATAATCAGGAACTATAAGAACTAAGGGACAACGTGACCCTGGCTTCCTGCCGTAAAGTAAACTGTGATAGATATATTCCGTCTTTGCGTATTGCAGAGTTATCTTCTCTTGGGAGCAGGTATTGATTGTTACGTCATTGGTTTGTGCGAGAAAATAACGTCGTTTTCTCAAAAATTAATGACGTTACTCTCACAAACAAGTGACGTAACAATCAATCCCTGCTCCCAAGAGAAGATAACTCTGCAATGCGCAAAGACGGAATAGTGAGACGAAATCTTCACCAGAATTACTTTACATTTAGTAACTGTTTAATAATATTTCTCATCCCCTCTTCTGAAAGACAAACACATTTTCAATCGGGGTTGGTATGCTATTATAAGTGACAAAAGAGGCATGGTAACGTCGAGATCTCCATAAATATATTCCGTCTTTGCGTATTGCAGAGTTATCTTCTCTTGGGAGCAGGTATTGATTGTTACGTCATTGGTTTGTGTGAGAAAATTACGTCGTTTCTCAAAAATTGATGACGTTACTCTCAAAAACAAGTGACGTAACAATCAATACCTGCTCCCAAGAGAAGATAACTCTGCAATACGCAAAGACGGAATAACTCTTAAACTGTGATTATACTGTATACAGTGATATTTCTGGGATTTCTTCGATAGAAAGCTTATGTAATTTCGTTAAATTCCATTTTTGTTACGTTAGCCTAGCGACACTATATTAATTGTTATGATTTGTCTCCAGGATTATTAAGTGTTTGCCACGACAAACATAAGCTTACATATAAATACAAACAAAACATGTGAACATTAGCATATTGAAAGGGGGTTCCTGTAATAAAAACGTACTTAATGTTTATGTTATCGCCGCATTGTATCATTCTGAACTGCTTGCAATCGAAAAAAAGCAGCCAGTTCACAATGACGTCAATGGATACAATACCATTCTGGGGGGGGGGGGTATAATATATGAGTATCGTTACTGCCTCAGAGTTGTCGATTTTTTGTTATTATTCTCATGACTAGATAAATATCTGATGTTTGCACAACAATACGCAACTGTACAAGTGTTCAGAATCTGTGAATATAAATAATGTTACATCATAACTTGAATCAAATTTATGATATAGCTGCATGGTTGCATTGAGGGAAATATAATATTATACATCTTCCTAAAAGGTTCGAGATTAATCGTTCGAAAATAAAACCAAATCACACTTATTGTATTGTAAACAATTGTTTCCAAATGTTTCTATAGTTGATTATTTTATTTTGATTAATATGTGTAATGATCCAAGTATATATTTATTCGATGCCTAACCTCAACAAGAACGATTGCCTGATTGCAAAATTTATATTTGAAGCTTTACAAGGAATATATAAAAGAAAACATGCACATCTCTTTACAATAGCGGTTTGAATGAACAAAATATAAGATAATATTATATATCCTCATTGAATGGCCAAGGGAAGACGATTGTGGGTTCTGTCCCCTTACTAAGACAAACCAAAGTCGTTAGCATGTGTACTTACTGCCCTTTGTTTGATGTTCAACAGTATATAGGTGACTGTGATCAATGGTTAGCGCGTGTCGGTATAACACAGGAGAAGCTCGATCGATAGTTGTATATAGACAATGCTAAATTTAGGAGGCATACAGAATGAGCAACACGGCAAAACGAAAAGGCACCTTTTACAGGAAGCTCTTCATGTACTACCACTAAGGTTGTTAAAGTAGCATGTTTACCTTGACAGATTGAACTATTTCATCTACTTGGAGGATGTGACATAAACGCGAGGGTGGATATCCCTGAGAGTATGACTCCGAGCTCTGCTTTACCATTAAAGAAGAGGATGAACTTGTTTTCATTCCATTAATGCACTCTATTCCTATTATTTATAACTATTCCGGCCTAAGCAATATATTATGTTTGTGAAAAATGTTACGTGTGGCGTATGAATGTCAGCATACATGTCTTATGACACCTCAATTTGTTATAGTATCACGGCTTCTGTGGAGATAAATACGCTTTACGCCACATAACATTAACCGTAGATAATAAACACATACTGAATAATTAATCGTTCAGAACAGAACAATAGTTAAAATGTGTAGGACAATCTGCAACCTACAACGAATTTATGTTGTCAGATTTTAAGTGTAAAAGGAAAAGACGAACTTTAAGTTTTTTTGAACCTGTGTCTAATCCATAAAATTATTTTTGGAAATAAATATATTTAAATCAAAGGAACAGATTTTTAGTTGAAGACCTGGTTTTAGACGAAATGGTGCATGATTACAAATATGTAGCAAACGACAATATTAAACATCACGTTTACACGTAGACTCTCACTCCAGTCTTATGGTAGACTTTCAAATGTTCAAAATGTTAACAAACGGGTTAATTAAAATATATAGGGTTGGATATTGTTTTAGTCCATCTTACGGAGTAGTAATGGAGTTGGTCTTGAGAACAATACACCTTAAATTTGTTTGAAGACCAACTCAATTAATATATATGAAAAACGTGGCATCAGATTCGTTCTATCTCCATAGAGGTCTTTGTGATGCGTTTATGAGTAATGATTTTTGAACAACTGTTTCGATAGACATAACTCTTCAACATTATCACTGAAATGTCTACTCTGTATCATGGTACTTCAATATTCGAAAAAAAGAGCATTCTACACGATAAGTTGTCTGAAAATGATTTATTCTTAACGATTGAGATTACAAACTGAGATTTGCAGGATATGCAAACGCTTCATATTCTTGAAACCCGTACACAATAACACTGAATGCCACACTGTTGTCGATATGTTGGACAGAACACGTCTGGTGGTTGTTACAGGTTACCGTAATGAAACTATACAACTCGCCGTCAACATCAGGAAATGTCACTGATCCAACGCGAGGCAGGTTCGTCCCGTTTAGTGGACGAAGCTGTAGACCAGACTGGTCGGTTGTCCGGATACTGACCACGATATAGTTATCGAAAGGAGCGTTTCTTTCGTAAGAGAATTGAGGAGGCGAGACCAGCACGATTTCATTGGAAAAATGCTTTTTTGACGGAATGATTGACATTCCAACAGTGGTTGCATTAAAAACCAGTAGAACTAGAACAGGTCTATCACTAGAAATGCTGTACGGCTGTGTTGGAACTGTTTCTATATCAAGAAAAGTTGAGAAAGTATACGTTTTGTTTGATATTTTAGCAGTGACAACGACACGCGTATTGTTTACCGATGAGACAATCCTGATGATACCACTAGAGCTTCTCATGAACTTTGAGCCCCATTTAGACATGGGAGGTAGATACTCAACGAGGTGGTTGCATCCATTTTTGTATGAACAGACATTACCGCACACGACCGCTACTGGTTTATTGCTAACGATACGTGTACCTGTAAGGTCCTGGTATTTCGTTGTTGTTTCTATATAGAACGTGTCTAATTTGTCAAGTACGACGGTGATTGTGTCCCCTTCCCTGTGAAACTGACCAGGAACAGAAACACCTGATGTACTGAGAGTGATATTGATCACTGTGTTATCGTACGGCGCCCCTACAGCAAAGGAAGTCCCATACTTATCATATGAGTTTGTATTAGGTTTGAATGTGCCCACGATATAGGAGACACCAAGACTCGTCATAGGTAAGGCAAGGTACCCATCCGCCGTTCCAGTTGTAAGAATGTTAAATGCAGTGGTAGATATCGGTGTGTCAGCTGTCAGAATGATCCCTTTGCTTGTCTTGCCGATTTCTTGCATGGTCATGTTTGCGTCTATCTCAATATGTTTAGCTGGACCAGAAACATGTTGTTATGTTGCGTTATATCGTGTGATCACCTCTATGTTAGCATACTTGGCTAGAAATGTTACGTTAACACTAAGGTGTTGTGTATTGAAGCCATTGTTATGATTTCTTATAAACATCAAGAAAAACGATTTTCCATTGAAACCTGTCAAACAAAATACAAATATTTCATGACAGAGTATATGTAATAAAATAGTTTGTGTATGTCAAACAAATTGCAAAGTATGATAGAAATGATATAAAGCAGACATTGACGAGCTTACATCCTTATGTTACAAAAGTTTCACATTTTACTTAATTGGCACAAACTTCTTTGAAAACTGCAGTGATTATATTTAAAACCAAGTTCGATTCAAATATAGTCTCCATAACTGCTTTTGAAATCTGTCAAGCGTTATGTTCCCGAAGTAATAACTATAAACAAATTATTTTCATTATTCATAGATGAAGGCTGCTTTTGAGTTGCGTTCTGAGAGCGGAAATAAGAGAAAGAATTTGACCCATTGAAATATTAGACAATATTAAGACGTATTCTTTTGTCATTTTCTTATTGCAAAACAAGACATTTTAAACATATATTAATTAATATGTATATATTAACGTTTACTCTATTAGATGTTTTTGATAAAGAATATGCATATGCTCAACCAAACATGAAATTAAAAAAATGAAATTATTTATGAAACAAATAAATTTAATTGTATAGTTACTGTGAGTTATCGGAGTCGGAGTTGTTGCCGGTATCGTTGTTAGCACGGACGATGAGAAAGGATCACCTGGTAAAATGCAAATGTTAGAGATATGACTCTGGGCGAATTGATATAAATATATAGATATAAGATGACGTCATGTAACCAACGGTGATAAATAAACAATATCAATTCCTGATATCTTAGTAAGAATTTTTCAAAATATATATCAACCGATAACTTTAACAAGGATAAAAGTGAGAATGATGTCGTTTTTATTTAGTTGAGGGAATGCAAATGCTATAAAACTGACGATAACATTCTAATTTTGTCCAACCGTATTAAATGTGTCGGAGAGGGTAGATAATTGTAAGAACTTGTGCCAAGTTCCTTTGATTGATATTGATAATCAAATTATGTTTTAACAACGTATCTGATTAATGTTTTTTTAATAGATATGGGAGGCCCCTATTTATGGTATTTTTTTATGAAAAAAACAATTATCATTTTACATTTGCTGTTACAGAGGTCATATGGGCAGCAGGAGAAGCAGGTTCCAAGTTGATGTGACCGCTTGCCAACCTCCACCGGGTTATATGTAGGAGAAACACATCGCTTCTCCTTCATCAAATAGAACAAACATATTTTTATTTTGATATATCACCATGACTAAAACCTTAAAGTATGTTACTCTACTTTTATGCTGCTTCAACAAAACCGAGACATGATACGAGAGGCTTAACAAACGCGGGAATGCAATCATCTCTGAAAATAACAGTAAGGAATAAAAAAAAAATGGAGCTGTTTGTTCATTATCAACAACAATTACTTTATGAAGTGAAGTTATGTTGTAAAGTACACTTAGGAGACATATATGTAATCTATACAAACAACCTGTTCGTAAATATAATGGCACTCACTGTATTCGGTAGGCAGCTTGTTTTGTAGAATAGTTCGCCGAACTCAAACATTTCCTCAACGTAACATACCTTAAATAAAATATTTAAAATTGACAGGCATATCATTGGTTGCCATTGCACTAATAACAACTGGTTTGACAGCTCTATATCCGGGAGTTCTTCCTACTGTTTGGTTTTGGTTGATCTCCCATAGGTTTGGTATGGTTCAGTAATGTTTAACGTCCTATCAACAACTAGGGTCATTTAAGGAGGGCCTCCCTGTGTGCAAGATGCATGCGAGTAGTGTATGCGTGTGTGTTTCGGGAGGCTGCGATATGTTAGTGTTTGTCTCCTTGTTATAACGCGGAACTGATGCCGACTTTATAGTGCTACCGCACTGAAACATACTGCCGAAGACACCCAGCAGGCCTCTCCCATTGGACCATGGTTATTTGACTTCTTGTATATTGAACATGTGATATGTCACATAATACTCTTTCACTTCTGGAACACCTCATTTGTTTCTCCTTTTGCTTCCTTTTCATTGGTATCAATGTTAATCTTTCCTTTGTTCATATTTTGACCATATTTTATCAATTTTCTACTGGAAGTGTAGTTTTGATGACACTTCCGTATTTTCCTGTTTTATTTGTACCACTATAATTGATTGGAATCAATATCCTTACCTCGCTTTGTTGACAAATGGAGATGACATCACAATCAGCAAGGTCACCTGATTGTGGACAATCTAAACATACCGGTCCTCTTTGTGTTGGAAATCCTATTTAAATATGTACGAATATAACACGTAATTAGAAAGGATTAAAGCGCTTCGTTTGTTCGTTTAATAGAGTTTGGTCCCATGAACGTAGATATAAACTTAATTTTCTTATAAGTCTGATTTGATGCGGTCGCTTCTTATCGCAGGTGATAAATGCAAACCAATATTAGCACTGATATAAAGCTTCTGTACCACAATAGGAGTAATCGTCTAAGTACTACAAACCAGACTATAACAATGTAGGTCTTCATGTCCATAATGCACAATTTATAACCAAGCGACAAAATCACAGTATGGAATTTCGCCCATATAACGGCTCTCCCTAAGCTGCATTCGGTTATCGCGATGCAACGATTGAACCAGTTGGACAAGAGTTGTTAGTTGAAGAACAAAATTGTTCGGACCAAGAAATCAGATGCTGTTCTTGCAAGGCCTGAATAAACAGTTGCAGGTCCGCCAGGATTTATACCCGAAAAAGGAACATTTAAAAACAGACAGATCAGTTGAACCGGATACGTGGAAGGGGCCCTAGCTAATGTCTGTACCAAATTTTGACTAACCGCCCATTCGACAACCCGCAGAATTACAAAGGTCACTGTGGCAGCACTCAGTACATATACGATGCGGAGGAGTTCCGATGTTATCTGTCCGAAGGATGTCAGCGAAGCGTTTATGACCGCTGGTCAATGCACATCTCTTGATGAACAAATAAAAAAAAACCTTAATGATTTATATATGAGTGTTCAAGTAAAACGTTTAATATTAAACATGAAATACATCATATAAACTACAAAATATTAAAAAGCAAAAGATCTCAAATTCATCATCGAATTGATTTAAATTAAAAGGATTTTACAGGCATTTGATAGGAAAACCAATGCACCTTCCCTAACCACCGGGAACTGGCCTTACATAGTTACATGGTACTACATAGTCACGACACTGCATCCATTACTAACGTACAGGCGGCCATCCATCCAGCCACTTGGTTTAGTTGGTTCAGTTTAAAGTCCTATCAACCGCTATGGTCATTTAAGGACGGCCTCCCTTATGTGCAAGATGCATGCGTGAAGTGTATGTGTGTGTGTTTTGGAACGCTGCGATATGTTAGTGTTTGTCTCCTTGTGATAGCGCGGAACTGATGCCGACTTTATAGTGCTACCGCACTGAAACATACTGCCAAAGACACCCAGCAGGACACCCCACCCGGTCACATTATACTGAAAACGGATGAACCAGTCGTCTCACTCCTAAATTGATCAGCGCTAAGCAGGAGTAAAAACTACCATTTTTACAGACTCCGGTATGTTTCAGCCAGGGAACATAACCCAAAACCTTCCTCAAAGGGGCGAACACTAAACTAACGGTTTTATTTAGTATTGTTTAACGTCCTACCAACAGCTATGGTCATTTATGGAAGGCCAAAAGTGAGGCATTGTCAAGGAAGACATTAGGAAGAAGAAAGTTGTTTAGAATAAAGAGAAAAGATAAGATCACAAATTAAGTCGCCTTTTACAATCATGCAATGGGGGCAGCAGGTACAATTCTTACGCCCCACCTGCAGGGACATCCAGCCAGCCACTGGATACGCTCAGCATTGCTGAACAAGTGAGCGGGTCTAAGGGGAAAAGTGCTGTACTTTTTATGGCGTTCTGTCACAAATCAACAAGACCGCGCAAAAAGTGATTTAGTTTCATATTAATGAAGCGATATTTACCTGATGATGTTAAATGTGTTACTCATAGAACATGATTCATCCGCTTGGATAGGTTATGAACCATCCTATTAAAAGTCACCATATTTACGGTTATTTATACCTTTGCAGACGCACACCCAACGTAAAACATGGTTTCACCATTCTCGCTTCGGTAGGACTCAGTTATGCATACCTGGATATAAAACGCATATTCTTACATCTATGAATTTTAACTGATTTAAATATGACTTGGTTCATATACAGATATTTTTCTTGTTTGTTTTTAAATTGAGGTTACGGACAAGACCCCCGTAAATCCGATGTCCTTACTTCATTAAAGACACCCTATGCAAAATGCTCCTAGGGTGATTAATTGTTAATAAATATCACCGTCATAGAGAATAAGTTGTTTTAAAGACCTAACTCACGAAAACAACTACAGGCAGTTATACGTGTACAATTCGATTTTTCTACGTAAATCCTATTTTAAAATGACCATGTGTGACCTTTTCTCTGATACATTACCGAACACACTATTTAAATCTCAACTATAATTACAGAGCCACGATAAGAGATAAGATAACTCGTGCATACGGATTAGTAATTCGTACACATGTATTGGAATGTCATGCGCACGGGTTGGTAACTCGTACACACGGATTAGTAAATGTATTAATATGTCCCTTCGTGGTCTCCGTAACCTTTTTGTTATTATTTGACATTAAACCTCGTTTTTTCCCACAAAGATAACTGTATTTAATGGCCTACTTACGTCTCCTTCAGGGCAGAGTTCGATATTAGAACACTGATGTGGTTGTATGAAACCATTACAACTTAAACATCGTAGGGCGGTGATATCTGTCAAAGAACCTTTGATTTGATTTTACATATGCAAATGTACAAAATAATATTATAATAATGAATATTGATCGATGCACAATACACTACAGATTGTCAGAGAATACAAAAAAGAATGACCAGCTGTTACTCACTGCATATATCGTAAGAGGCGACTTATGTGGGAACCCAGTGATTGTATGCCCCCTACCGACCAAAATAAATGTGCTGCACTCATTCCGTCTTGCTTGGCAGTGCCGCACTATTGGCCTCAGTGTTGAACGTTCGCCTAAGTGGGGAAGGCTTTATGTAATGTTCAATTGCAGAACACAGCCCCTCGATGATATTCCTTTCTAAACGTTAGTTATCAACGTTTAGCACAACAACACGTAAATCCGTTGCCAGCATACTGTGATCGGTATGTATACTGTTTTGATAATTAAGCAAGGTTGCACTCAAATGCGGCAACAGATCCGCGCAATCGTAAGAAGGTAAATACACCAATAAACCGCCTCTAACACCCACGCATATATGACCTACATGACGACACGTCCTTAGATGACATGAGCTGTTTATGGGACGCTTAACCAAATCGACCCTAACTAATCCGATCGCTGTGTAGGAACAGTCGCGTCTACATGATGTATACCTGGAAACTTTCGTCCTTCACAGATAAAATCAAAATTAGCCCCGTGTTAATTAATCCCATCACGTTTATGCGATTACTTTGCACGTTATATTGCGTACTTATATTGGCTGCGATTATATATTCTTCCCTACTTACGGAGTACATTTCCCGGTATAAAGTATTACATCACGGAACTATAAATACAAAATGTATACGTAAATTTTACTGATACACAAGATAAAAAAAACTATAACTGTAAGCCAAATGCTAACTAATACCCCCGCTCCTATATAACACAGAACTTTGAGCTAAAGCCTTACACAGGCAAAGCATTGCAAAGCATTCCAAAGTATCCCACCAGTAATTATTTCTTTGTTGACCGAGCTGTACACTTATTTAAGTATACAGGTCACTGATATACTTCCTGTACTCCCTCCCCATGCGAAAACATACTTACATACCAAGTTTTGTTAGCCGAGATGAACCAGTTTCGCTAAAATTGTCCTATTAGTTAAGAGGAGAAGGTGTCAGGACAAAGATGTTTAAGGTAAGGACATTTAAGGACATGTCTCGTTGTGTGTTGTGTATGCATGCATGTGTATAAGTGTGCCGGAGACAGGATGAGTTGGTGTTTTTGCCTCCTTGTGTGATAGCGCGGATCTGATGACGCCTTTATAGTTCCATCTCACTAAAATACCATACCGAAGGTACCCAGCACAACATTCCATCCTGTCGCGTTATACTGAAACGGGTGAACCAGTTGTTGCCATTCCACTAAATGCTGCACGTTAAGCAGAGAACTAGCAACTACCATTTAACGAACTTTGGTATGTCCCGGTTTTGGGGATAGAACCAATTGCCTTCCTCACCTGAGCGAACGCTCAATATCAAAGCCAAAAATGAAGTGTTGCCAAGGAAGGCGCTAGGAAATTAAAAGTTGAAAGAAATATAAAGATCCCAATTATTGCAAATGGTGCAGCAGATTATTTTGGTCACATTCGTGTCCCCTAGTGGAGGGCACAAAAGCCAATCCCCAATTATGCAGGTGGATCCTCGCATAAGTCACCTCTTAAGCTACATGTAGTTGGTAACCGCAGGTGTATTCTTTTTTCTGTCCTTTACCTGCAGGGGTGAACATCTGATATGTA